GGCCCCCCCACTCCGCCCCCCCGCCCCCTGCCATACCTGGCTTAGACTGGAAGTGAGACCGGAGCGACCCTGCCACACTTCCTTGAGAGAACGTCTGAATAATATCTGTCCAGCTCATTCTGTTCTTGTCAGGGAGCTGAGCTGTGTTGTGTGAAATAGTTCAGATCTCTAAGATTAAAGACCCGCCTGAGACTCAGAATGTCAGGGAGCTGAGCTGTGTTGTATGAAATAGTTCAGATCCCTAAGATTAAAGACCCGCCTGAGACTCAGAATAAAGCCACAGAAACAAGTAAACTAGGAAAAGAAAAGTGTTTAATTAAAAAAAAAAAAGTGAAGTTTGTTTTGTTTTGTTCATTTGATCAGGGAGGGACAGAGAGAGAGAAAGGAACAGTAAGAAAGTAAGCTGCCAGGTCCAGGACTCAAACCACCGTCTGCCATGAGAGAATCCAGTGTCTTTAAACACTATACCACCTGTGGGCCCCAATGTGAAAGGATTTTGGGGTTTTTGTTGTTGTTGTTGTTGTTTGAGAGATTTTTGCTATAAGACACATACAGTTGCCAGAAAGAGGCAGAAAGCCAGAAATCACACCCCCCTAGGGGGATGACCTCACCACAATCCCTTCTCCATTCTCCTCTCAGGATTTTGGGCATGCATGCACATGTGCCCAGCGTAAGCTTTAAGACACCAGATCTGGGGCTTGAACAGTGGTCAACTACATGGGAGTCCAGTGATGTAACCATTACGCCATCTGCGCCATCTGCTAGTTCTGTGAAGGGTTTTTTGTTTGTTTGTTTGTTTGTTTGTTTTTAACAGAAAGAAACACTCCTGGACGAAAGGAAAGGCGTGTGAGTGAGCAGCTGCTAGAGGACAACTGGGAATTAGGATGGGTCTTACTATCATCTTGGGATCCCGTCATGAATATTTAGGAGGGGAGGGCTGTAGCGGTCTTTGTTTGAATCCAAGGGCTTTCACCTGCTCTTGCTGCTTCTCCTCAGGTAAGGAATCCCAGGGTCTGGATTAGGCATCCCAGCGTGCACTTTGACAGTGAGCACAGCCATAGGTAAGAACATTCTGCCCACATCCCTTAATGGCCCTGAGTGGAAAGTAGGAGGTTGACCACGCACCCTGGTGAATTCCTATGTGCATATGCAGAACAGCAGGAGGGAAGAATAATGACCTTCCCCAAGTTCTTTGAAGAAAGCTTAGGTAATAAAGAAATTAAAAAATGAGATCAACGGAGAGGGAGGAAGGAGCCCAGGGGAGTCAGAAACATCCCGGATAAGCTGAGATATCCCAGGGCTGTGCTCGTCTCTGACTACCTACCTGTGACAGCTCCAGTGAGAGTCTCCTGGCTCTGCAAGATTAGACGCCATTTATTCGATTTCCTGGCAGCATGCCTCCTGGGTAGGTTGCTGTGGCTCGTGCCCTGTGAGAAGCCCCGTGTAGGCTGGCGGCCCTGGAGGGCTGGCAAAGGTTACGTTAAAACACCCTTCAGACTGCAGTGTCCACTGGGGAACTTCAGAGTCACTTTGATCTTAATTAGCATTCTTGGATATTAAAATAAACACCCATGCTCCCAGGGCAGGGAGATGAATCAGTGCCCAGGCAAACCCCTGGGGCTGGAGTTCTCAGGAGACTGGGACAGGCTGGCTCTCTAAGGCCACGTGGAGCTCTTCGGCTGGCTGTCACGTCTCACCTCTGCCTGGCTGTCCCAGGTGCTTCCTGGATGTCCCCTCTCCCTGGCTGCGGCCTGCCCAGCTCATTTTGGTTTCTGAGAACAAAGAGAGGAGCTGTGTGAGGCTGGCCTGAGACGTGGGAATGCCGTTGTTGACTCGGGCCATCAGCCCTAGGGCTCCTGGAAGACAATGTCATACTGCACATGGTGGAAGGGATATTTTGGTATTGGCAGAGGCACGAGCGTCAGCAGAGACCCCTAGTCCGGAACTCTGGGTTATGGCCAAAGGCGCTGCTTGGGGGATACGGCACTGCAGAGCTGCAAGCCTATCCCAAGTCAGGGCACGAGGGAGCAGGAGAGTTTCTGCCTCAAGTCCCCTGCGCTTCCCATAGCCACCCCCTTCCTGCCCAAGCACCCCCCACCCAGGCTCCTGTTCTGACAAGACACTGGGTCTGACCTCAGCCACACGCGTGCTTGGGCGGTACTTCCTCTGGAATTTGTCCTGCCGAGTCCCTGAGCATTTGGGAAAGGCCCCTTCCCAGGGGCAGTAGTCCTCCTGTAATTAAAGACTGCGTTTCAAAGACTCTTTTTATGATCCAAAATCTGGTTGCCAGAAAGAAAATAACACAGGAGGCGTCTCTGAGGGATTGTGTGTGGACTACCCAGGCTGTGCCGCACTCCATGATCCTGCATGCAAATGAGAGCCCTGGGTTTACTCGGTGCCCCAGGTGCCTCCCCCAGAGCCCCAGGTGTCTCCTTCAGAGCCCCAGGTGCCTCCCCGAGAGCCCAGGTGCCTCACCCAGAGAAGGAATTCTATAAAGACCTTCCCTTAAAGTTGCATGAGTGAAGGAACTGGCCAGAGGGTGGGAAGCTGAGACTGTGAGGCTGCACAGAGATAAAACACACATGACTGTTTCAACCTTTCCACTTGCCTAGATCTAGCTTAATTCAAAACATTTTATTTATTTATTTTTTTTTTAAAAAAGAATGGATCCAGCAGGTGGTGTAGTGGTTGCTGGACTCCCACATGGCCAATTGTAGTTCCAGTTCTAGGCCTGGTGGCTTGAAACTCACACTGAGTGTGTGTGCATGTGTGCTCAAAATCCCAAGAGGTGGGACCAGCAGTTGGCATAATGGCTATGTCACTGGACTCCCATGTAGTCGACCATGGTTCGTGTCCCGGACCTGGTGGACAATGGTTTGAGTCTCAGACCTGATGACTTAAAAATCAAGCAGAGTGTATGTGAATGTTTGCCCAAGATCCCAGGAGGAGAAGGGATTGCGGTGTGGCCATCCCCCCTGGGGGGTGATTTCTCACTTTCTGTCTCTCTGTCTCTCTGTCTGGCGAATGCACATGCCCTATGGCAAAAAATCGCTCAAAAATAAATAAATAAATAAATAAAATCTCTAGAGAAGGGATTGCAGCGTGGCCATTTCCCCTGGGGAGTGATTTCTCGCTTTCTGTCTCTCTATTTCTCTCTGTCTCTCCAACAATCACACATGCCCTATACCAAAAATCTTTCTTAAAAAGACAAAAGAAGAAGAAAGGAAGAAGAAGAAAAGAAGAAGAAGAAGGAAGGGGACAAGGTCCACTCCACTACCACTCCTCTGCCTCAGTTACAGGCCAGGGCCAGGATGCCGAAACAGGGGTGTGGCGTGGAGGATCACGGCTGACAGACACTCGCTCATTCTGGACCACTGGGGCCTGGCCACAGTGCAGTGGGGGGTGGCAATGGGATGCAGCATGGTGGTGCTCTGATACAGGCAGGACAGCCATGTGGGACCTGGCAAGTAGGGGAGACGGCGCTTCCTGTGGGAAGTCCCCATGAAGGAGGGGGCCCAGAGAGGAACCTGGCCTTGAACTAGCCCCTTCTCCACATAGGGACCGGTGCAGAACTGGGCACAGGCCACAGAGAAATGGGGAGTGTTCGCAGCCGGTCAGCCAGTCCCTTCATCCCTGTTCCTTCTCATCCACACATGCGGGATAGTGTTGGCTACAGCCGGGCTTCTCTCCCAGAACAGTCACCAAAGCACGACGTGGTCTGATTCTGTCTTTTCTCTCCTGGCAGGATCTGACTTGGCTCTGGGAACATGATGGATTTCATTCCGTGTGTTTTGGACCAAACACATCCCTTTAGGATAAAGAGATCTCTGGAAACCCAAAATATTGGAATAAAACACTCAGCCTTCTTAGACACGTTGCTGTCATTTGCCTCTGGATTTCTCATTGCTCTAGCCTGAAACAATATTTATTCTTCCCTTCGTCTGCCTAAGACAGTGAGTGTTGCTGCATCGGCCAGAGGAAGCTCGGCCTGTGGGATTTTTGTGATCTTGTGGCTGAGATTCTAGAAGGAAGCTCTGTGCAGTGGGCTTTCAGCTGTGCATCCACTCTAGTGATGGAGGGTGAGGGCAAGTTGTAGGCCTCCCAAGGCCTGGGCTTTGGGGTGTCCTCTGGGCTCCAGTTCATCTTTCACATTGAATCTCTGCCTTGGGCACCCATGTTTTGTACCTCACAGCCAATTCCCTGCCTTGCTCAGTGCCTCCTTAGCCTAACCTAGGAACTCTTTTTTTTTTGGAGAGATTTTTGCTATAGGGCACGTGTGCTTGCCAAAGAGACAGAAAGTGAGAACTCACTCCCTGGGGGCATGGCCATGCCACAATTCCTTCTTCTCCATTCTTCTCTTGGAATTTCAAGCACACATGCTCATGAGTTTCAAGCTGCTGGGTCCAGGACTCGAACCACAGTCACCCATGTAGGAGTCCAGCACCTGAATTACTACACCATCTGCTGGCTCTAGACTAGGAATTCTTAAAGACCTTCCCCTAAAGCCTAAAGAGTGAAGGAACCAGCTGAGGAGTGGAAAACTGAGACTGCAGGGCTGACTGTGTTTAGAAAAGAAAGAAGAGGTATGCAAGGGTAACTCCACTACCTCAATTCAATTACAGGGCCAGGGGACCAGAGGGCAGCACTGCATAAAAGGTGACACTCTGTGAGGTGGACCCACCTGGGAAGGCTCTGGGTTCTGGTCCAGAGACTCCCCTGAGTATACCCGGCATGCGCATGCCCATGGCTGACACTGGGAGTGGATCGTGGGGTCAAGACCCTGCTGGGGGTGCCACTTCTCTCTGTCATGAACAAAGAAACTTCAATGAAAACCACCTGTGTGCCATCCCCCACGCTGGGCAGGCACCCTTGAGCTCCCAGGACAGTCAGAATCAATCTGTGCCCTCAGGAGTGGACGCCTGAGTGGGGCTGAGTGGACGGAGAGAAAGCAGGTGCCAATGACTGATGGTAGGGGTGCATAGCTCAGTGTATAACACGCTTCTCACCAAGGCCGCTCCATCCTGCCCTCCAGGCTACATGAGCACCTCAGGAGCAGGAGGAGCCCCGGGGCTCTGGCCTGCAGCTGGTTCCACGGCTCTCCCTCTCTCTGGCCCCTTCTGCACCTGTGCTCTCGAGATAGGGGGTGTTGTCCCCATTTTATCGATGAGGACAACAGAGTCTGAATTCCCCCGGCTGGAAGGCAGCAGAGCCGCTGGCCTCAGGGCTTGCCTGGAAGGAAAGTCCTGGCTGGTCACTGTGCAGAACCACCTCCATGAGCAGGGTGGTGGAGGGAAAAGTTTGTGACAGGAGGAGGTGGCATCCCACATGGGCTTTGGAGCATGACAATAGAAAAGGTGGGAAGGTTGTCTGGGCAGAGGCACAGGGAGAGCCCAGCCATGGGGCAGGCCAGGCCAGGCCAGGCCAGGCCACGCCAGGGCAGCAGGTTATGGGGTGGGGCACGGCGTCATGTGTCCCACCTGGAAAGGCCCCTCGTGACCTTTCTCAGGAGTCCCCAGAATCCCAGAGGGCATCTTTTTCAGCTGCCTAGTGCTACGACACCACCCCATGGTGAGGTAATGTACAGAATGCACAGTATAAGCAACGCTTTCTCCTGCTGGACAGAGTCCGGCCAGGGTTCAGGTGATCGTGCGACCTCAGCTCTGCAGACACCAGAGTCCGCGGGTTTCGTGCCAGAGGGACAGTTGCAGTGGCCCATGTAACCCTCACTCTGCTCACGTGGCTCTGGGCAGTGGTTCTCTGAGTTGAAATTTCTGTATTGGATTGTTGGAAAAGCCATGAGTACTTTTTCTATGCTTTCTACACAAACATGTGTCATGACTTTTCCAACAACCCAATAAGGACCCTTTTGGTAAACTGCAAGGGGGAGAAAGTCCAAACCAAACCAAAGTGACTTATGCAAAAATAATAATAATAATAATGACCTTGTTGGTGCATGAGCAAAACGCCCAGGGGCAGATCTGGTGCTTCTGGCACAGTCTGATCCAGGGGCCACATGGTGTCACCAGAGTCAGTGTCTCTCAGTCTCTGGGCCAGGTCTGCTGGAAGGTGGTTTCATTGTCAGGCCCCAACAGCACGAGCCTCCATCATCCTTCCTACTGTTGGCCCCATGGGAACCTCAGGCCCCGCAACCCTTCTAACCCGGCTTCATCCTGCTGTTCCGCCTGGGAAGTTTGCCTCTCCCGCTCCATGTGCCCGCCATGTTGCTGAGCTGGATTCAACCCCACCAGAAGTTCATGGGCAAAGAGTAGGGGAGGGGTGCTTCCCCAGAAGGCAATTGAGGTGCCACTTCCAGCAGGAAGATGCGTATAGATGCAGGATGGTAAAAACCAGAGGCTCAGGACAAGGCAGTGGATCAGTGATAAGTGGACCCCCATAGGAAGGTCCTGGGTTCAAGGACTGGGACCTCCCTGAGCACACTGGGCATACACACGCATACCTGTGATCCTGGCTTGCTGGGACTGGGGGCTCAATGTGGCATGGAGACCCTATTATATGTGGCTGTCTCTCTGTCTTTCCTTCTTTCTTACTTATAGAAGAAATAAGTAAATAAACTTTAAAAACCAGAAACACACCTGACACTCTACTGACAGCAAAACCCACTGTAACAGAGCTGGCATGACCTAGCTCAGGAAACGTGGGGTAGAGACAGCAACCTGGGGAATTGGCAGCCCCTCACTGACACCTGAGGCCAGCAGGGGCCACAGCTGCCAGAACTGGGATCCAGGCCTGCCTGTTAGGGCAGCCAGCAGCTGACCGAGCCAGAGCATGAGTGCAGACCACACCAAAGGAGAACCAGGGGAGCAGGCAAACCACACTTGGGACCTATAGGGTCAAGACATGAGAGGTCAGGAGCCGGGCAGCTGAGAAAGGACTCAGAGGTCAGGCCAAAGTGGGAGCAGGTCTTCAGCACCCTCGTACAGCAGGTGGTGTAATGGCTACACAGCTGGACTCCCACATAGTGGACCATGGTCTGAGGATACGATGTGGGAGCCGGAAACCAGGCCACACCTAAGAACAAAATTTCACAGTCACCAAGTGGTTTCCCTTTCTGAATGTAAGCGAGGTCATGTTTGTGTGTGTGTGCGTGTGTGCACGTGTGTGCGTGTGCACAGCTGGACTCCCAGATAGTCGACGCAGGAGGGCATGTGCACAGGCAAGAGAGGAAGTACTTCCCAGCGGGGCTAGGTCACACCGCAGTCCTTCCTCCAGTTCTCCTTCTCATCAGGATAATGGACGAGCATGCCCACACCGTGTTTTTCAAGAGCTGCTTGGGACCAGCAGGTGGTGTAATGGTTACACAGCTGGACTCCCAGATAGTCGACCATGGTCTGAGTCCTGCACCCGGCAGCTTCAAACTCACACTGGGCACGTGCATGTGTGTGCCCAAGATCCCAAGAGGAGAAGGGAGAAGAATGGATTGCAGTGAGGCCATCCCCTCTAGGGGGTGATTTCTCATTTTCTGTCTGTCTCTCTCTCTGGCAGGCTCACATGCCCTATAGCAAAAAAAAAAAAAAAAAAAACTCTCAAAAAAAAAAAAGCTGCCCAGGGGTCCGAACTTCCGGAGTCAGCCATGTGGATTCCATATAGCCATAGAGTACTTGCGTTACCACTGTGCCCAAGAGCTGGTGCATGTGCATGTCATTTCGTCTGCTTGAATCGTTTCACAGACTTCCCATCTTTCACATCTTTCACAGAGGTGCACACGGCCCTTTAGAATCCCCCACCCGCCTACGCTTCCTTCACTGATCTCGTCCCCTGCCACCCTCTCCGCTCGGTCAGCTCCAGCCACAGTGGCCTCCTTGCTGTCGGCGTCCACCTCAAGGCCTTCGCACCTGCTGCCTCCTCTAATGGAACCCTTCCCCAGCCCTGCCAGGGCCCTCTCCCGCTCTTCTTATCCCACTCTTTCTTCTCTGTGAGGCCTTTCCTGATCACTCTATGAATATTACAAGTCACCACCAACCCCACTTCCTTTCCTTTCCTTCTTTCCTTTCTAGCTTTTTCCACCAGACAGACACACGTTGCTCCTTTCTTATGCTCATGAGCCTTTCCAGGCTTGAAGAACCATCTCCTGCCAGACAGAGGTGTTGGTCTGTTTTGTTCACTGTTGTTCCCAGCCCTGGAACAATACTTAAGGGTCATAGCAGGTGCTTCCTAAATGCTAATGGCATGAATTACCGTTCAGACCCCACTGCTCAGTTAAGTCACAGAATGGACCTGGGCGGCTTGTGGTTCCTTGTTCACAAGGACACACGCGGCTGTGGTGTAATAAGATACCTCTTGAACAGCAAATGTGGAGAAGAAAAATCTCCCTTAGGGAGTGGTAGCCATTTGCGGTGCCCTGAGGTTAGGTTCTGGGTTCCTTGCCCTGCTGGGGAGGGCAAATCCTTTACTCTGGTGGTCTGGAGATGAACCTGAGAGACTTCTTTGTTAGGACAAAGAGGTGTCTCCTAGCACCATTGTTTACGTTTTTTTTAAATCTCTAAGAAAAAAGTTGCTAAGTGCCTGCCAGAAATCCCAGACAACCCTTTCCTCAGTTCCCACCTGTCGGAGGTGGTGTGGGGAGAACAGAGTGGAGTAACGATGCCAGGGAAGGAAACGGGAGGCCTGCCTGACCGCAGGGCCCGGCTGGATCCTGCGTCTGCAGAGGGCGCCTCTCTGGGATTGAGACAGGATACGATGTGGGAGCCGGAAACCAGGCCACCCCTAAGAACAAAACTTCACAGAGAAGGAGACTGAGACAAGAGGCAGGGAGAGGAAAACAGGGTCCAGGCCAACCCCGAAAGCACAACTCCACAGGGACAAAACGAAACTATAATGGTCATGGCCACCACGACTTACAGC